TATATATATATATATATCCAAAAAAGGGATTTGTCTACTTGTACAGAAATATTTTGCATAGATCTACAAACATTTTATAATCAAGTGTGATTTCTAACAAATCTTCAAAGATCAAATTGAAAGACAAACTTTTATGAGGGAGCTGAAAACTTATGACAACACTTTTTTTTTTTACATAATTTAGATTCAATTTCCTTGAAATATTTTTTTTGGTTATAATGTAGCGAAGTTTAAGACTATTTGTTATTGTCAGGCTTCAAAAGAATACCATCCAGAAAGAGATGCTTTTTTTTTCTTACCACCAGACCATAATGTCTAGCTCTAGTCAAGCCAATAACTTTTTGTTATGTTTACTGGATAAAATAACCCAGCATAATAGGAAGACTTTAGTTAATTTTCTATTATTACTAAGACTAGTTTGTCAAAAGTGGATACATAGATACAGCAGTCCAAAACAATTAACACATTTTTTCAAACATTACAACAGCATTTTTGTTAAATTACAAGCTTTTAGCTCTTTTGTAAAAATAGTGTTTAACACGTGTAACAAAGTACTTATTAAGATTGTAATACTAGACATGTGAGAGTTAAATACGAGTACTCCTTAAGAAGTTTTTACAAGTGAGCATTTTAAAAATAAAAACTGTTGCCTAGAACACAAAATAATTTTTTTTTCATGCTCGTAAACATTTTCATTAACCAATTTTTTTGTACTTAATGTAGGTGAAACGATTTGTAACCTTTCCTCAACTTGTTAATTTTTAAACTATGAAGCCAAAAGTCTGGCATATTATAATACACTGTTGAGAGATGATGTTTGATTACTTCTAAGGTAATTTTAATGTACTAATATTGGGATTTAAGATGTTCTTAGTTTGGTATTGTTATCCACCTATGAGGAAAGTAGTAGTTAATATCATTTGTTAGCAAAAAAATACATGAAATAAATGTATACATTATATGTTTTAGGACTTCTTTCTTTATGTAATAAAGAGTATACGATTAAAAATGTTTATTATCAAATGCATGTGTCCCTTTTATGGAAACTTTTACATGTGGAACTACATCTACTAGTTAGTATAGATGGCTGTCATTTTATACATATATACATAACTAACATTCATTTCCCACAGGTATCAAAATGAAACATTTCATTAGGGAAAAAAAAATATACCCTACTAATGAGCATTGAGTATGTTTGGATTCACTAGTTTCCTGTAAGGGATATCAGTTATTTTTTTTTGCTTTTAATGCTCACTTATTTTTAAAGGGTTTGTATAATTAATGTATTAAAGGTAGTAAAATTTCTTCTAAGGTTGACTTTGGACAGCATCGTAGTACGTTTTACTTTTTCCATGATTTTAACTGCTTTTATTTTTATTAATATATTAGGATGCCTCCAAGTACTTCACCTTTAATGTCTGCATTAATAAACTTGTGTATTATGTTTTATGAATATCTTAGCAAACTTATAGAATGTTCTAATAACAATGCCCAAGCAATGGTTGTAGTTACTATTAAATCGTCAAGAAATTAATGTCTCATTTTGGAACACTTTCATTAACCCCCCCCCCAAAAAAAACATGCATCACGTATAATAGTTAAACAAACCATCTAAACAACGTTACGTTAGCATAGCCTATATAATATGTAAACTTTAGAATACTCTAATCCCTTATGGTGATGACACAAACATTCGGCATGTAATGCTGTTTGAATACAAGAAGAGAAACAACGCCTCCGTAGCCACAAAGAATATCAAAGAAGTTTATGGAAATGTTATGAGCGTTCTTAAGTGTCAACAATGGTTCAGCAAATTTCGTTCAGGTGACTTTAGCCTTAAAAACTGTGATGGCAGAGGCCGACATGTTGAAATTGATATTGATGCTCTGAAGACGCTTGTTGGGTCTAACCCAAGGTAACACACTCGTGAAATGGCCCTGAAATTGTATGTCTCTCATGAAACAATACGTTAACATCTAAGGAATATGGGAAAACTCCATAAAGAAGGTGTTTGGGTGCCTCATGAACTCCCCGATAATCATAGTTTCCAACGTTAGAACGTTGCTTCGTCTGTTCTGGCGCGTAATGCACATGAACCATTTTTGGACAGAATTGTCACCGGAGATGAAAAATGGATTCATTATGCAAATGTTGAACATCAAAAACAATGGCTCGGTCCTAGACAAAAACCACTTCCCACCCAAAAACCTGAACTCCATCCGCAGAAAGTGATGCTTTCCATTTGGTGGGATATCAAAGGAGTAATTCATTTTGAACTCCTCAATCCACAGCAAACTGTCAATGCAGAGATCTATAGTCAGCAACTGGAATGTTTAAATCAAGCCCTTCCTCAGAAACTCCCTTCACTCGTTAGTTGGAAAGGTGTTCTTCCCCACGACGAAGCACGGCCACATATGGCATCTTTGATGCAACACAAGATTATGAAGTTGAGTTGGGAAGTTCTCCCCCACCCACCATATTCTCCAGATATGGCACCATCAGATTACCATTTTTTTTTTGTTTGCTGCAACACTATCTTGATGGGAAAACATATGCAAATATGGAAGGTGCTAAAGAGGACATCGACATGTTTTTTTGCTTCAATCAGAGCATTAACAACCTGATTGTAAGATGTAAAAGCATCATTGATAAGAATGAAGACTATTTCATTTAATAAATGTTTTGTTTTGATAAACAAGTAGTTCGGGTTTTTTCATCTAAAAAAAGAACAAACTACATTAATTTCTTGATGACTTAATACAATTAATGCTAAACCTACATTTATTGATGCTTTTGTAACCCTTACCCAAACTTAATTTTAAACAGCTGTCCAAGAGCAGTATAATTTAACAACATATTACCGCACTACATACAATTGTTGGAAAACTGAATCATATATTATAAAAATGAAAACATTATCCTAAGCACATACCAGAAAGAGAAAAAAAAAAATGATGACTACAACTGTTCAGGAAGACTTTACTTAAAGTAAGCATTCATTTATGTACATAACGGCTTGTACACATCATGTTCACAATTTAATTTTCAACCCATAAATACCATCAATCACATTGTTTATTCACAGCATTTTTTATTGCCGATACATATATGGTGCTTTAAAATTTGAACTCTAGAAGTAGAAAGTACAAAAATGTAGTAATTAAAATTTCTGTAATTTTTTTAAGCATATAAAACCCACAACAGATTACCCACTTATTTTTTAGAGTTAACATTATATTCATAAATTAATTAATCTACTTTTGGACGGATAGTGAATTTGTTTTTAGACTTTATGCACCAATTTTAATTTTATCCTAAAACCTCAGACAATACATTTTCACACACTAGCCTTTAAGTTAATATTTTGCTTTAAATGCATCCTGTGGATAAAAATAGTAAAAGGTTTTTACAAATGCCATTACTTATCGAATCATCTCAACTGTGCCATGTTCTGATGACACTTTTAAAAGTTTCGATGAATATTAAAATATCACCCTATTCTCATGGTGGCACAAGTGCTCATGGTGTATTCACAATGTTTCTGGAATATCTCATTCAGTTATGAAGTGTTTTCAATAATGGTGGGCATTCTGACTGGGAAAAAAAAAAGGCTTAGCTTTCTCCAGATGCAACTATTTCTGAAATCCAATAAAACGAAGTGGTAAAATTTCAATTTAATGTAGGGTAAAAAACGGTAACTTACCTTAGAGTTAACAAAGAGTATGTTAACCAGCTGAGATGTCCAACAATGATTACTAGTTTTGGGGAATGTGATATCCTAGCTATTATATGACGTATGTAAAACTTATCTTACTTCAAAATAAGTTTTTGTTAATAAAAAACACTACTTATAAATGCATTATTACATCATTATAAAAAATTTATATTAACACTATTTCCCAAAGACTTTTAAAAAACAAGAATGCATTACCTAGTAACTCTATACTGCTAGTTACCATAGTGTAGTTAATAGGTATCTTCATAAATGCTTAAGATATTCCAGAAACATCACTAGTGCTACCCATAAAACATGTGTTAATTTACATTCTTCTGACGTGACTGGCCTCGTAAACTGTTAAAATAAATAAAATTACATACTGTTTTACTGAAAGGAATACACAAGCTTTTGCATTGAACTGTAAAATACATAAAGCATGCAAAAATAGAAGTGTCATAAATAGAAAAACTTGTTAATAATTACACGTATAGTTAAAAACCAGGGATTTACGATCCTTCATTGAACAAATACAATACTAATACTTCTCATTTTAATAATAAAGAAAATATTGGTGGATTATTTTAATGGTACATACCAGCAATGAAATAATAAGTTGACTAGATGTCACATGCGTTGTACTTATGTTTTTAAACAATATATAATTATCATTAATGCATTTTTATTTTTCTATAAAAAAATGACTCATCACAGATACAATTTAACACACAAATTATTTTTCGTAATTAAACTAAAATAGTAAAGTTTGGGATAATATTATCATCATTAAAATCAGACGATTATTTTACATTAAAAAAAAACTGTTCTTTATAAAAATGGTTTAGTTGATTATTTGTTACTTTTAGTACTTGAAATTACCTTAAGAAAAGTTTTTCAGCTATGACTAAAAATTAAATATAATTACTATTACAACTGTAGTATGGTAAAGATTTCAGAACTGTACCAAAGAAAGATGTACACAAATAATAATAATTCTGCTAATTGTACGCCCTGCCGTAAATATGTCTCAATGTTTACTATGTGTGGTTTAAGAGTATAAATTAGCATAATCTACAAGAAAATGATACATTTTTATCCACAGTGCTATATTTAAGAGATTTTCCAATACCTGGATGTTCTTAAGTTGAAGTAAAATATTCCCAAGTATTTCACATAACAGACATTAAAAAATAACTTGTAGTTACACTTTCATATTTTGATATAATCATTTAAGGCAGTTTTATTCACATTGCTTATTAAACATTGCTCTGTAGTTTTGAATATTTTCATGCAAAAACCCTTAATTTGGTTCGCTTATACTCAGTTGTATATTCTTCAAAACATAAAAAAATGGCATTTTAGTTTATATATATAAGACTCATCTTAATTTGGTGACATATTCACATTAATCGGATGCCTACTATATATCATTAGTTGTGTTTAAAATGTCATCCATCTCAAGAACTAAAGCAGAAGCACTATACGTAATTAAGTACAACTATAACTACCCTGCTTCAAATTCTAGCTAAAAAAAACAAATTAAGCATTTGTGAGTTATGAATTCAACACTACATTTTTTAGACCTAAAAATGATACTGAAATGTACATTACTTTAAAACAAGCAGCCTTAACTGCAGAGCAAACAAAAAAGTATTTTTACAACAACTCACCTGCAGCTGTTTTTTTTCCCTTCATTATACTGATTGTAATATGATCACTACATACAACAAAAAGAACTTTTTCACAAATTTTATTTTTTAGAATTTAACTTAATATCCAATTCAGCCAACTGCCGTAGAAATCCTGTATTAGGCCTTACAGCTCTATTATTTCGTAACGTACGTAATGAATCTTCAGCCGTCATTCCCTTTTTTATCACGAGGTAGGCAATGGCTACAGTTGACGATCGTGATACGCCCATGAGACAGTGAATCAATACTTTTCCTGATAATGAAGAAAAGAAATTTATAATCTTATGTTTTTAGCTTTTATATGTATATATGTGTGTACTTATGTAAAAAGAAAAATTATACATGTTCAACAAATTTAGAGTATGCATACAGATTTTTAAATATCAAAATAAGTAATCAACATCCCCAGAGCTTGTTTGAAACACGTTAATTACTAAAATTTGAAAAAGACTTCGTAACTGCATGTTCATGTACTTAAATATGACAATAATCTTCATTAATCAAATAAAAATCTCATGATTTACATATAAATTTCTCTAGTACGTGTGTCATGTGACTATGCCCCAAATATATATATACATATGAAAGTTCAAGCTAAATGAATTATTCAACAATGAGACCTGTCACAAAAGCGGGTAGAAATGAGTGTAAATTGCACACAAAAAACGAACACGCATAGGGTTAGCATAAGAATATCATATATAGCTGAGGATCCCAACTGAGTTATATTTGTTTCAGCTTGTCTGTGAGTAAGACTGGTGGGATCCATATACCTCACAAAAATATTTTGAAAATGGCACTTTAGTCATTGTGATGTATCAAAAGTCATGTATATGTACTTATATGATTTACATTTTAAAAATACCGAAATTGTACTGAAATCATCACCAAATATTGTAAAGAGAAACTGAAATAAAAGGCACATGACCAGAGAAGGAATATGATGATTAAATTGTTGTTTTTTTTACTCGCCATCATTCGTGCACCATTACAACTGTTTTGTTTATACCTGACTGGTTGAAAATAAATAAAATTGATTACTTAAAAAAATTAAAATAATACGACAAAATTTTAATGATATTATTAAAATTGTAAGTTTTTTTTAACATATAAATTACATAATTTAAGCAAAATACGAACAGGTAGGAAAACATAACCATCCAATCCTAAACTTGATATACAAATTATCAAGTGAAAAAGTTATAATTTCTTATCTGCACTATTGAACCTTTAGATGGAAGAATAGTATGATAACTGAATTTTGGTTTACTGTACTAAAAATTTCCTATTATCTAAAATTAACTATTAGAATTCCATTAAAGATGATTATGTCAACAATGCTAGGAACACAATAATTATAATTCTGAAAACAATACAATTTCCTCTTGTTTAAGATAAATTTCCAATAGAGAAGACTGTACTATGTGGAATAAATCTGCCTTTGAAGTTTTGCAAGACAGTGAGTTGCTTGCACAGATTTTTATCAAGAAGATGAAGATCTGTTAAACCAGTGATATACTTACAGGTCAAGCAAACCTAGCACTGCTTCATTAGTTAAAATTGGTTTTCAGTCCATTAAAATAAAGGTAAGAGCATTTCCATATATTTAAATTAAAAATGTTGACTTCCATATGTATAAATGTATCCCTTATAAAGTAAAAAATCTTTAGCAATGCACACAGAATCCCCACCAAAACTACACCTCCATCACTGACTTTACCAATAAATGTTGAGAATGAGACACGAGTCACTCTACACATTAAAGTGAAGTATCATATATCTTCTACTTGGTGGTTGCCATGGAAATGAGATATCATTAAGCCAGGCAACAAATAAAAACCTTACCTGATCAGTAGCAAACCAAATACGTCTCTAAGAGCATGGTCTGATCTTTTTAATGTATATTCAACACGCTTTGAGTGAATTACAGTTTTATTTATGGATTTCAGTTGCTGGTTTTGTGTTACTTTAATTTGTTTATCATTTATAACAATTATAAAAGATACATTTAATTAATTATTATGATCAAATTTCTTTTTTATTTATTCAAAGAACTGCTCACAACAGATGCTCTAGTTTTGGTACGATTTGCTTGCACATGCCATGTTCCCTAGCTCCACCCCTATGTATCATTGCTTCCTCCATCATATTGCTCACTGAATGCCACTGTACTGACAGCATGAAATGTCATCCAAAATTATCTGAAAGTTCAGAGAAGTGTCCAACACAAATACGATTTCCTCTACTTTGGAAAAATATTTATATGCCTATCAACTTTGTTCCAAAAAAATCCATCAATTCCCCTCTTACTGAACCCTAAACAATAAACAGATACGAGGTTATACAATAGATAATACATTGTAAAAACATACCTCCACTTCTCAAAGCAGAATCAATGAAATTTGCTGCTTCATCAAAATGATCACAAATACGAGCCTGTGGATTATCCAGTACATTCATACCCAAATACTGAATGTTAGTGCCATAGTAATAACTTCTTCCAGTATTGACCTGACCAAAACCACAACCTTCTGCTGTGTTCACAATATGAGTGATGCCCATTTGTTGAAGATAAGCTTTGTTCCTGGCAGCTCTTCTGAAAAAAAAAAAAAAAAAAAAAATTGTGTACATTAGTAAATTCAAATTTATAATAATTTACTTGACAAAATTCTAAAAATGCTACACACACACAATTTGCTATACATTTTTTATTAAACAGTAATTACCAATACAGTTTAAGACCAGCAAAACACACCTTTCAAGAAGTATATATAAGGTTGAGTTTGTTATACTAAAATGATTTTTAACATGCAAAACAGCAATTCGTACAATAAGTAACAGTAGAACAGAATGTATCAGAACTACATTTCAAAATTGTTTTGAATTTCAAAGATAGAGTGATGTCACCAAAAACTGATCACTTTTGAGAAGGGTAATGTGACACTTCTTTCTGATACAAGATCCCCACACTCACATCATAAAGATGTGTTCAGATCAGGGATTTAGAATTTCAAGATGGGGATATCTCTCGTACTTAATATCAGAAATAAACGAATATGGGGCACCAGGTTCATTCAGAAAGACCTGCAACAAGTCATACATCAGTTTTAGTAAGCCAAGTACAGCAACTTGTGACAGATTAGAAGTCACGAACACAAAGGTCACTGGCAAAAACCGTCAATGTGACACACAAAACAGCATTCAAAATAACCAAGAATGATCTTTAACAGGAAAATTGCCAATATGGTATGGGTTTCCTCAAGATAAAGCTTCTAGTCATACCTTTTCTTCAACCATTACACACCTCAAGCAGCTGGAGAATGAAAGGGTATTCATTCTATTCCATGCTAATACAGATGAGTCCAATTGCCAGATGCACCTCCCATGGATTTCTGTGTGATCAGACTGTTGAAATGGGTAATGGGAAACTATTGTCCTCGTGTGCATTAGATGGATTATAGTAAGCATGCAAGGAGGTATAAATTGCTTTAGATATGACAGTCTTATGATAGGACATTTTGCAATAGAAACTAGACTGCAAGGATATTGTCACAATACATGGTCCTCAGAAAAAGTATAATCAGATATAGCAACATTGATTGTAACAATTTGGTTAGGTTAGCTCAAAAATATTTTTGATATAATGTATTCACCTATTTGCAATAAAATTATTTACCTACAACTACCGTTCAGCAAATCAATAATTTTTATATTTGTCTTATCTACTCCAGAAACTTTTGTATCTACAGAGAACCTCACCATCTTATTAATTGAAACTGTGGTATCAGGTTACTGTGTCCATTAATTTGACAATCCAGTAGAATAAAGTTCTGTGTCCCAATGAAGACAGTTATAGAAATTTCATATTGCAGGTTATTTGAAACAAAACTTTTAAGTTTAAAATGTCCAGAGGATCCTGAGTATTTCTATACATAAAACAGTTGTGTTGACCATGTGTCTGCTTTTAATGTCTACTGTTTTTGACCACTCTCACCTAAACTTGGCAAACACACCACTAGGACCCCCCTGAAGAGCTACAGAGTGAGGGTGGCATTTAGATATACCCTTTTACATCACTCCCTAGATGATCCTATGTGATCCTGATATCATTCTACTGTATCCAGCTACTTCTTCCCCATGCATCAAATGGGTGATGAAAAGCACGAGAGGAGTTAAAATAGAATTCGGCCTGATCTATGTGTAGCAAGAACTTAAGTAAGATATGGATTCTCCAGCTATATTTTTTTATGCAAACAATTATATGAATCTGTTTTAGCACTGGAAGTGTGCAAAAAGTATTGTTATTCAAAAGTAGTTGCACTGCTGATTATTCATACTAAAACAGAGGCTTAAAATGGCAGCCCTATGTTAAAAGAGATAATGTTTTAAAAAACAAATGTGACACAGTATGTTTTGTTATCAAAAACAAAACTTAATACCTATGTTTGCTTAACAATATTCCAGTCTTATATGAGATTTAGATTTGGACAGGCATACATATATTGCAAAAAAAAAAAATATATATATACATATACACCAAAAGAAAAGAGAAGAAAAACTATTTATCTTACTCATCTCCTATAAAAATGCCTGGGTAAACTTCATCACAGTCTTCAATCATCCTTGTTCGTTCTTCTGAAAACACCTGCCGACCCAGAAGTCGTGGGAAAATAGTATAACCAGACACACGTAGCTTGGGGCAAGGCCGAGTATGAAGAATTATATTGTGCAAGCGGGTGACTGTTGTTGTCCCACTGTTATGTGTATGGTTATCTGGATACATGTAGGCAGACATTTGCTATGCGAGTAAAATCCTTATGGTACAAAATTGTGTGGGAGAGTTTGAAAAAGGTTTTTACGCATAGTATTTCTCAAAGTGCAATTCAAAGCTGAAAAAAAAGAAGAAAGAATATTTTTCACTTAAACTTATCTAATATAAAAAAACATGGTTATATACATAGTGCTTGGTAAGCAACTTCAAGGTTTCAAGAAATTATGGTAAGCCATGTGTCTTAAGTTTTGTATTTGTCAAAGTAAGTAATTTGTATGCTTCACTGTATCAATTACTTTGTCAAGATGAAATTAATTATCTTAACCAATACATAAGCATTAAAGAAAAAGAAGAGTAAAACAGAAATTTTCTGTTTGATAAAAATTTGGGGTGTATATCTCATCATAGTAGTCGATACGATAAGTATCTAGATATTCATGATACGATACGTATTTAGATACTGAACTTTTACCAATGGTTTGTTACAAAGTTTGACAGTCTTGTCTGTAATATGTAACATTGTCTTATTTATATACTTCACACTTTACAGTGGTTTTTCCAAATTTTCAGGGTTGATCAGCTAAATGGCAGCTGGCAAGAGAGTTAAATAAAAGAAAAGTTAATATCCGTCTATCTATTTTGTTGTTGTTAATTTACTACGTTACGTTGCATGTAATGTTTTTGATAAAAGATGGCAACATGTCGTGTTCAATATTCATCTCTCTTTGTTGAATCATTAATTTTTAACAAAAATACTTTATTAGAAACTCTGATTTTTTCTATACAAAAGACAATGTTTACTGAAAGCTTGCCAAATTTTGTGAAGACACATAAATCATACTGTATTATACTGGCTTCATGATATGATACTCATGTCGTATCTCTGTATAGCCACACCTTTAATAAATATATAAAACCATGGGTTAGAGTACATTGAGCCTTGACATTTAGGCTTACCACAGAAAATGACTTCCTATTTATTTGCAAAGGCAGAATTGCATGATCCATGTAATATATTTCCTTATATTTGTGCAGTTGTCTTTTTTCTTTTAGTCATGGTTTCCATACAGGCTGGGCCAAATGAATTGAGCTGCTACATTAAAAGTTTAGTATGTGTTATTTTATCCAACAAGTAAACTGTTGTATATCAAGAAATAATATGTTCCAAGCACATAAATGAGAACAATACAGAGACAAGTGATATAGTTTCTTTTAATGTCACATAATGCATATTTGTGTGTGTGCAGGGGGGGGGGGGGGGTACATATAAAAATGCCAGTGGTGAAATAATAAGAATTTGCTTTAAGAAAGAATGCTATTATGACAGCTACATAGCAAAATGTGTAGTCAGGAATAGGTTTGTTTGTTTTGTATACATAAAAAAATATGCTTTGCATTTAAACTTTGCTCAATCAGAGACAAGTTTGAGGACACTAATTTAAAATCAGGTCCTGTTCTGTTAGAATTACTGTACAGAGAAAAACCGACATTTCTGTGTGACATGAAAACTATTTTATCTATCAAAGAAACCAAATAATACTGATTAACCAAAAATATTTCATTAGTAAACTAGACAACACTCAAAACATAAATTAAACATCAAAACATTCTGCCAATATTTAAAATTTCACTTTATAACCTTGTTTTCTGTGTTCCATAAAACTACAGCAGCTTTATGAAGAAGTTTAAGTTTTTGTGACAAATTATAAGTTTTTCAAATTTATATAAAAAAAATGTGTAGGTTTACTATAACTAGAGGCAGCATGGTTCAGTGGCTTCGTGCTTTGAACTTGTGGTTGGAATGGTTGCAAGTTCAAATCTGGACTTCAACATGCTGCTGTGTCTTTTCAACACACTTTAGCCCACTTGTTCCAGTCTGTCAGGCTGTATGATGGGTACAGCTATTAGCTGGGACTTACCCTGTGATCAACTGGCATCTTGCCTAGGAGGGAGTGGGGTCACCACTGTCATCTGTTTATGCCACTTGAAACCATAGTTTAAAAGCACCAGCCCTATGTGCCTTGCATAGGCACTGCAGGGATCAAACCTTAACTAACTTTACTGTACGTGTATGTTACTTACAATAGGTTTAGCTAGTTCAAAAAAATTCAACAAATATTAATTTTTAAAGTGTTTATTTCAGTATTTAGATCTCATGAACATTCTTAGTAATGCTTGAGCTGGATTGGAAAGTCATAAAAAGCTTCATATGGCAAATTAGAGACTTTTTAAAAGTCAAGTGGATACATGCTTCTTTAATTGGTTGACTTGGAGCCTGTGCTATAGATGATGTCACACTCCTGATGTCACTAACAGCAGTAGAAGTAATAGTAATAAATTATTTTATTTAAACTGGGTTCTTGGTGTTAAAAACATTATAATAATAAAATGAGATGTACTTTAAGAACAACAAGGGACCTTCTAGGCCATCCCATCCACTATACATTCAAATAAAAATAAAACACTCAAAGCCAGCCCTATTCAATCAAATATTTATCAAGCCTCCCTTAAATTTACTGCACACACCACATTTGAAGGAAAGCAACCCATTCCATAGGCCAACCATTCTGTTAGAAAAATAAAACCATTAAATACAAAAAAAGTGCTGCATCATCACTACCAAGTTCCTTTAACAATTTTAAACACCTCAATTGTACCCCCATCTAGCTCTTCTTATTTCAAGAGAAAACAATTTCAGAGAGTTTCAGCTGTCCTCATATGACAAACTTTCCATCCCAGGTATCATCCTAGTAGCCTGCCTCTGAACCTTTTCCAACAATTCCATTTCATTCTCAAGGTAAGAAACCCAAGACTGAACACAGTACTCCAAATGTGTCCTAACCAGTGACATACACAATGAAATTATAACTTAGTTAGAGTTGTATTCAATACTAAATAAAATAAACAAGAATCTAAACCATTACTGTGTACGAGTGTGTTTGTCTGCTTAAAACTGGCAAACCACTGAACCAATTGTAACCAATCCTGGTAGGTACCCTTGGAAGTGACAAAGACGGGTCAACATTCATATCTGATTGCCCCCTATGTCAACCCCAGAGACATCTATGTTTTCCCTTGCATTGATAAGGTACGTCAGTTAGTAAATAACAACAAAATGAAAGTGGATACTGCTGGCTAGTTGCCTCCCTGTGGTCAGTGGTTTGGAATTAAAGGTGGTGCCATGCTACCTGGACTGTGCATTGACAAGTGAGCTGTGACAGGACTCCATTACTGAAGGGAGATGAGTTTGTACTAATATTTATAGTGCGTAAATGAAAAAAAAAAATTTAAATATATCTGTTTTCAGTAAGATTTCAGGTTACTATGCTATTTTAGACATAAAAGCAAAATGTCATCTTTTCTGCTTATACCTACTATTAATAATCCTAGAATTACCGATTGAATCCATACAACTCAATCACCTTTTTAAACACATTTTCCTAACCTACTTACACACACCACACTGCCTTTGGTTCTCTGACCTTGTTGGTTACAAGGTCCCTAATAACATACGAGTCACAAACAAAAACTTAAAAATAACATCAATATGGCAGATAATCCCACTAATTACTGCTGCAGTTCTCCGTGCATTTTAAACAGAAAATATAGGATTTCCTCCATTTTTTTGGGGGCCAGTTTTTTTACACCTTGTGTTATATTACAGGTAGAAATGTAAAATTACTCAATGTGTGAGACTCCATCAATAACTGGTGGTATAAAAACAAGTGGATAATTTGATGATTAATGTCAAAGTAGTTTCATTTTGGTTTTTAGACATGAGAGATTCAATCATTTTAACATATTTTCAGGGATGCTGGCTGTAAACAACAGATGCAAGAACCAAAGATAATTTTAAAAATGCTTATGTAATGAAATAACTTGAATCTTTCGAGAGCAAAATGTGCATGTATTATAATGGTTTATTACATTTTACTGACCTACTAAATTTTTATGATGTGGTATATACATTTTCAAACAATTACACCTCTTTTGGGATGGTCTAATGCTGTGGTTCTCAATCTGTTATCCATTAACCCTTAGGGTCTGTGATCATTCTAAAAAGAGTTGGTATCAGTAAAGATCAAAATATCATATCATTTCTAAGCAAAAAGATACGATACCATGTTTACTTAACTGAAAATAATGGCACATTTGAAAAATCTCATTAATTTACCTTCTTATGTCAGTGCCATTTTTATTTACTATAGGATTAACTTTTGCAGACAAACCTATCTGTTGTTAGTTCATGAAGAAGTCCAAGTTAAGGAACCACTGGTTTAATGAGACCCCTCTGATGCTTCAAGGTCAACACACATTAAGTTAAAAACCATTTGGTCACAAATTTTAAAAACATTTTCATAGTACAAACTATAATCACCATTCACAAGGTAGTAAAAACTTCCTACACATTCACAGTGAATTGTTTTTAACATGATATTGCAAAAACTTTTCTACTCAGCTGATCTATCTTCCGCATGGAAGATTTATTTAAGTTTAAAATTTTTTTTCCTATCTAAGTTTTAAACATGCACAATAATTAGGTAAATTAAAATATTTAATAATATCATCATTCCTATAACTTGTCACCAACATTATTATATACTGTAAAATTGTGCATTGTTCAACAGTTTATTTCAAGGGATTAGTTAGACAGTAAAAGATACAAGACAAAATGAGGCATTTACTCCTTACTTAATGGTAATGTTTTATATACATTACATTGGTGTGCAAGAACAGATGACAGTACATTATACACTCAGCAGCAATTTATATAAACAAATTACAGTGCAGAAATATGCATAAACAAATAGTACATTATGCAAATTGCAGCAATGTACATATAACATTAACAGTGAGTTAAATACAACACAGTGGGTACAGGTCTATTTTTACATAAGCATATTAAAGTTATTAAAAAACAGAGGTTTGTAAATTCTTTCACAAACTGATCAACTTTTAGAAAAAAATATTAGGATCATTTTCAAATTTTACAAACTAACAGTAACAAAGACAGATAATTTGTTTCCTGAAATTGAAAAACAGTCATAATGACAGGTTATACTTACACTAAAAATCATCAGATTACTTAAAATATATATACAATTATTAATGTAACTAATTAAAAAAGTATTAGTAATTAAGAACGATGTATGGAGTTGCTGCCTAGATAGTAATGGCACAACCATTTTAAATTTATAAATGACATAGTTTTACATACCCCGTGACTATTACAAATTTACATTGCAGAGCTTTAGTCATTTAGATAAAAAGTTATAAATTAAGTTATATTACTCATAGTCATAAGAAGCTTGTGTTATGAACAAGACGAATGTGAAATTTTTGTTATAATTATTACATTATTGAAATTTGTTAAGTATTTATAACTAGTGTTAGTTATTACTAATACCCTTTTATATATAGCTTATACTACTATCATTGTGCCCATAAAACTAGTAACTAAGTTATAGACTACTAATATAACAATAACGATACTAACTTCAAGTTGAACATCAGTGAGGCCAAGTACGTAAAAATCACACCAGTGTCAATTACAATTACAACAGTTATCTACATTGACTAATACAAATTTAAACTGCAAAAGAGACCTAAGGTGGTTTATTTTTTATTTTCAGAAAATTTTGGTGTTTTAAAATTTAAATAAAATTACACTTCTCCCTGTCTTAAAAAGTTTAAAAGTATATATACAACAATAAAAGGTAAAGAACGGTAACATCTAAAATATTTTAAATAAACTAATATAATAATAATTCATCATATATGAAATATGTTTTAGAGGTAAACGAAATATATTTAACTGAAAATAAAAATAAGTAGGCCTAACATTCATCAAAACTACATACCACCACAGTTAGTAGCTCAAACAAAACCTACAGTTAATACACAAATCTCAAGACAAACTTCGTAAAAAACGCAAAAAGCCTGCATGTTACCCTATTGGAAAATGTAATTTCATTTCTACTTCTAACAATTTAACCAGTAATCGTGAGAAAAATTCGTAGTACCTTTACACAACTAGTTATGTGCTTTTACTTTGATGGATTCTAAAACAGTCGAATAATGCTTAATCCTTCCTCTCAAAATTGTGGCTCTTGAGCTTTGGCCATGAACAAACAAGTAGTGTTTTAACTTTTCCCAAACACAACACATTGAATTTGTAATTACCCTCGCCGTGCGAGGGGACTGCAGTCGGGTCTGTGTGAGTATCTGTGTTTTCGCGCTCATATCTCGAAAACTGAAAGACTGATGTACCGGTATGGAACAGTCCTCCCCAAACTTTGTTCGGATCCAGATCCTGGATCATTTTGAAGCATTTTTTTATAATGGAGAGATAGGGTATTTTCGCGGTTTTCGGTTAATAACTCTGTAAAGTGTGATCGTATTTGTACCTAATTTCATGGGCACATTACGGTTGAGACTCCTCGTCACACTACAGAAAATGATCCTGATCGTTGATTATTCTGGATCTGAGAAAGATTTTCTAAGTTTAGAATGTGAAATTTTACATTATCCAATATAAACGCAGGCAATCTCTAAAAGGACTGGTGGGGAGAGGGTATGCAATCTCTCTTTGTTGCTTTTGCTTGACCTGGCAATCGTCGATAACGTTTAATTAGAGGCCTCCTTTCTAATTTTTCGGAACTTGTTACTCGCAGTTCTTCCAAATAAAATAAAATAGAATTTATTGCTCATCTGCGTATCTGTACAACACTACAAGAAATTCTCACAGCATTAATATTAAAAACAGTGACAAAATTTACATCCATTGTCTCGCAGTTACAATGATCACCTACGTGAATGTTGCAAGAATGTTGAAAGTTTTAATTCTTTCTTTCACATTTGTTTAGTTTTGTTGTTGTTGTTGTTTTTTAAATAAACAAAACATTCTTGTTTGGTTTGGTGTATAGTTCTTTAGTCACCATTAATAACCTGAAATACTTTAAGTGTTTCAATAACATCTGACGTGTTGTCATAATTAAGTATCCATTATTATACAGTGGACTAACTGGCTGTATATTTATTTGTTATTGTTCTCCCTCACCAAAACGTAAATTTCCACAAGGAAAAGATAAAGTAGAGTCCCAATCTATTCTCTGATTTGTTACTTCCGCTGCAACAGATTAATTTCACCGAATTCACGGTTCATCAGTGATGCTTGGAAAAGCAAAGCAAAGAAATAAAATAGGCCTTATTTATAGGTGGAATGTAAACAGTTTATTTGTTTGTTTTAGATGTATAAGCCTATACTTATCACTAATAATCTAAAATACTGTTACGTCTCTGGTCGTTTGTTATTTTCCCGTAAAAATTCCTTCCGAAAAACTTCAGCGATACAAGTCCGTTCTTAAATAAAACTTGTTTATTCTTTCTCAATACAACTTTA